CAAATTATCCCAAATTTCCCCCGGATTTTTAAGCCCCTCCCCCACCCCAGAATTTAATTTTTGGGCGCTCCCGAATTCCCGAATAATTCCCAAATTCCTCCTTTTTCCCCCAAAATTCCCCAATAATTCCCAAATTCCCAAAAAATTCCCAAAAAATTCCCAAATTCCCCTCGAAATTCCCAAATTCCCCATTTCCCCAAAAATCCCCGAATTCCCAAAAAATTCCCAAATGCCCAAAGAAATCCCAAATTTTCCCTTTTTCCTCCCAAATTCCCGAATTCCCAAATTCCCAAATTCCCAAAAAATTCCCAAAAAATTCCCGAATTTTCACATTTCCTTCCAAATTCCCCTTTTTCCCCCAAATTCCCAAACAATTCCCAAATAATTCCCAAATTTCCCTTTTTTCCCCCCCAATTCCCAAATAATTCCCAAATTTTCCCTTTTTCCCCCCAAATTCCAAAATTCCCAAATTCCCAGACAATTCCCAAATAATTCCCAATTTTCCCATTTTCCCCCAAATTCCAAATTCCCGAATTCCCAAAAAATCCCCAAAAATTCCCGAATTTCCCTTTTTCCCCCCAAATTCCCCAAAAATTCCCAATTTTCCCCTTTTCCCCCCAAATTCCAAAATCCCAAATTCCCAAAAAATTCCCAAATAATTCCCAAATTTCCCCTTTTCCCCCCAAATTCCCAAAAAATTCCTCAACAATTCCCAAATTTCCCTTTTTTCCCCCCAAATTCCCAAACAATTCCCAAATAATTCCAGAATTTTCCCTTTTCCCCCCAAATTCCCGAATTCCCAAAAAAATCCCAAATTTCCCTTTCCCCCCCCAATTCCCAAATAATTCCCAAATTTCCCATTTTCCCCCCGAAATGCAAAATCCCAAATTCCCAAATAATTCCGAATTTTTCCCTTTTCCCCCCAAAATTCCAAATCCCCCTTTCCCCCCAAATTCCCAAATAAATCCCAAAAAATTCCCAAATTTCCCGTTTTCCCCCCAAATTCCAAAATTCCCAAAATCCCAGACAATTCCCAAATAATTCCCGAATTTTCCTTTTCCCCCCAAATTCCCAAATAATTCCCAAATTTCCCCTTTTCCCCCCCAAAATCCACTCGGGCTCCGATTTTTGCTTTATTTTGCTCAATTCCCTTTTTTTCCCCCCCATTTTTTTTTTGTTTTTTTCCCCCCTTTTTTCATTTTTATTTTTTTTCCCGCGGGGTGGGGGAGAAACGGTGAAAAATAAAAAAAAAACGGCGGAAAACGGCGGAAAAATGGCGGAAAGGGAAAGGTGGGAAATGGCGTGGAAAGAGGAAAGAAATGGAAAAAATGTGTTTAGAGCGCACACGAAATGGTCAAAAACAGCCAAAAAATGGTCAAAACCAGCCAAAAATGGTCAAAACCAGCCAAAAATGGTCAAAAACAAACAAAAAAAGGTGAAAACCAGCCACAAAATGGTCAAAAAGCCACCAAAAAAATGGTCAAAAAGCACCAAAAAAAGGGTGAAAACCAGCCAAGAAATGGTCAAAAACAACCCACAAAATGGTCAAAACCAGCCAGAAATGGTCAAAAAGCACCAAAAAAAGGGTGAAAACCAGCCAAGAAATGGTCAAAAACAACCCACAAAATGGTCAAAACCAGCCAGAAATGGTCAAAAACAGCCAGGAATGGTCAAAAACGGCCACAAAATGGTCAAAAAGCACAAAAAAAGGGTGAAAACCAGCCAATAAATGGTCAAAAACAGCCAGGAATGGTCAAAAACAGCCACAAAATGGTCAAAAACAGCCAGGAATGGTCAAAAACAGCCAAAAAATGGTCAAAAACAGCCAGAAATGGTCAAAAACAGCCAGAAATGGTCAAAAACCACCCCAAAAAGGTCAGAAACCACAAAAAATGGTCAAAACCACCCACGAAATGGTCAAAACCAGCCAAAAATGGTCAAAACCACCCATGAAATGGTCAAAAACAGCCAGAAATGGTCAAAAACAGCCACAAAATGGTCAAAAACAGCCAAAAATGGTCCAAAAGCACCAAAAAAAGGGTGAAAACCAGCCACGAAATGGTCAAAAGCCACCAAAAAAATGGTCAAAACCAGCCAAAAATGGTCAAAACCACCCATGAAATGGTCAAAAACAGCCAGAAATGGTCAAAAACCAGCCAATAAATGGTCAAAAACAGCCAGGAATGGTCAAAAACGGCCACAAAATGGTCAAAAAGCACAAAAAAAGGGTGAAAACCAGCCAATAAATGGTCAAAAACAGCCAGGAATGGTCAAAAACGGCCACAAAATGGTCAAAAAGCACAAAAAAAGGGTGAAAACCAGCCAATAAATGGTCAAAAACAGCCAGGAATGGTCAAAAACGGCCACAAAATGGTCAAAAAGCACAAAAAAAGGGTGAAAACCAGCCAATAAATGGTCAAAAACAGCCAGGAATGGTCAAAAACGGCCACAAAATGGTCAAAAAGCACAAAAAAAGGGTGAAAACCAGCCAATAAATGGTCAAAAACAGCCAGGAATGGTCAAAAACGGCCACAAAATGGTCAAAAAGCACAAAAAAAGGGTGAAAACCAGCCAATAAATGGTCAAAAACAGCCAGGAATGGTCAAAAACGGCCACAAAATGGTCAAAAAGCACAAAAAAAGGGTGAAAACCAGCCAATAAATGGTCAAAAACAGCCAGGAATGGTCAAAAACGGCCACAAAATGGTCAAAAAGCACAAAAAAAGGGTGAAAACCAGCCAATAAATGGTCAAAAACAGCCAGGAATGGTCAAAAACGGCCACAAAATGGTCAAAAAGCACAAAAAAAGGGTGAAAACCAGCCAATAAATGGTCAAAAACAGCCAGGAATGGTCAAAAACGGCCACAAAATGGTCAAAAAGCACAAAAAAAGGGTGAAAACCAGCCAATAAATGGTCAAAAACAGCCAGGAATGGTCAAAAACGGCCACAAAATGGTCAAAAAGCACAAAAAAAGGGTGAAAACCAGCCAATAAATGGTCAAAAACAGCCAGGAATGGTCAAAAACGGCCACAAAATGGTCAAAAAGCACAAAAAAAGGGTGAAAACCAGCCAATAAATGGTCAAAAACAGCCAGGAATGGTCAAAAACGGCCACAAAATGGTCAAAAAGCACAAAAAAAGGGTGAAAACCAGCCAATAAATGGTCAAAAACAGCCAGGAATGGTCAAAAACGGCCACAAAATGGTCAAAAAGCACAAAAAAAGGGTGAAAACCAGCCAATAAATGGTCAAAAACAGCCAGGAATGGTCAAAAACGGCCACAAAATGGTCAAAAAGCACAAAAAAAGGGTGAAAACCAGCCAATAAATGGTCAAAAACAGCCAGGAATGGTCAAAAACGGCCACAAAATGGTCAAAAAGCACAAAAAAAGGGTGAAAACCAGCCAATAAATGGTCAAAAACAGCCAGGAATGGTCAAAAACGGCCACAAAATGGTCAAAAAGCACAAAAAAAGGGTGAAAACCAGCCAATAAATGGTCAAAAACAGCCAGGAATGGTCAAAAACAGCCACAAAATGGTCAAAAACAGCCAGGAATGGTCAAAAACAACCAAAAAATGGTCAAAAACAGCCAGAAATGGTCAAAAACAGCCAGAAATGGTCAAAACCAGCCAGGAATGGTCAAAAACAGCCAGAAATGGTCAAAACCAGCCAGGAATGGTCAAAACCAGCCAGAAATGGTCAAAAACAGCCAGAAATGGTCAAAAACAGCCAGAAATGGTCAAAAACAGCCACAAAATGGTCAAAAACAGCCAAAAATGGTCCAAAAGCACCAAAAAAAGGGTGAAAACCAGCCACGAAATGGTCAAAAGCCACCAAAAAATGGTCAAAAACAGCCACAAAATGGTCAAAAACAGCCAAAAATGGTCCAAAAGCACCAAAAAAAGGGTGAAAACCAGCCACGAAATGGTCAAAAGCCACCAAAAAAATGGTCAAAACCAGCCAAAAATGGTCAAAAACAGCCAAAAATGGTCAAAACCCACCCACAAAATGGTAAAAAACCACCCCAAAAATGCTCAAAACCCCCAAAAATGCTCAACCCCCCCCAAAAAATATTTCAAAACCCAAAAAAATTGGCCAAAAAAACCCCAAAAATTGCTCAAAACCCCCCAAAAATCACTCAAAACGCCCCAAAATCCCCCCCCCCCCCCCCCCAATGGGTCCCGCCCCCTCGCGGTGCCCGGATTTCGGGGACCCCTCCCCAGTTTTGGGGCTCACTTGAGGGGGTACATGCGCAGCGCCACGTCCATGCCGGGGCAGTAGGAGAGGAACGCGGCCAGCGCCGTCTCCTCGAAGAGCCCGAAAATCAGGATTTTGTTCCTAAAAAACACAGAAATCACCCCAAAAAAACATCAGAGGGAAACCCCAAATCCACCCCAAAATCAGGATTTTGTTCCTAAAAAAACACCCCAAAAACATCAGCGGGAACCCCCAAATCCACCCCAAAATCTGGGCCCTGAAAAGCCCCAAAATCAGGATTTTGTTCCTAAAAAACACAGAAATCACCCCAAAAATCCGTCAGCGGGAACCCCCAAAAAACCCGCACAGGAACCCCCAAATCTGAGAGAATCCACCCCAAAATCTGGGCCCCGAAAAGCCCCAAAATCAGGATTTTGTTCCTAAAAAACACAGAAATCACCCCAAAAAAACATCAGAGGGAAACCCCAAATCCACCCCAAAATCCGGGTCCTGAAAAGCCCAAAACCAGGAATTTGTTCCTAAAAAACACAGAAATCACCCCGAAAATCTGTCAGTGAGACCCCCAAATCCACCCCAAAATCTGGGCCCCAGAAAGCCCCAAAATCAGGATTTTGTTCCTAAAAAACACAGAAATCAGCCCGAAAATCCGTCAGCGGGAACCCCCAAATCCACCCCAAAATCTGGGCCCAGGAAAGGCCCAAAATCAGGATTTTATTCCTAAAAAAAACCACAAAAAGCACCCCAAATTCTGAGAGAATCCACCCCAAAATCTGGGCCCCGAAAAGCCCCAAAATCAGGATTTTGTTCCTAAAAAATCATAGGACTGTTGGATCCCCCAAAATTTCCCCAAATTCTCTTTAAAATCCCTCAAAATTTCCCCAAAATTCCCCCAAAAATTCTCACAAAATTCCCAAAAACTTTTCCCAAAAATCCCCCCAAAATTCCTCCAAAAATTCCCCCAAAATCCTCCCAAAAATCCTCCAAAAATTCCCGGGGGTGTCGCTGTTTCTTGGGGTCCTTCTCAGGATTTTGGGGACCCCCCCAGAATTTCGGGACCCCCCCAAAATTTCGGGACCCTCACCCCAAATCTAGCTCATAGGACTGTTGGATCCCCCAAAATTTCCCCAAATTCTCTTTAAAATCCCTCAAAATTTCCCCAAAATTCCCCCTAAATTCCCCCCAAAAATTCTCACAAAATTCCCAAAAACTTTTCCCAAAAATCCCCCCAAAATTCCTCCAAAAATTCCCCCAAAATCCTCCCAAAAATCCTCCAAAAATTCCCGGGGGTGTCGCTGTTTCTTGGGGTCCTTCTCAGGATTTTGGGGACCCCCCCAGAATTTCGGGACCCCCCCAAAATTTCGGGACCCTCACCCCAAATCTAGCCCCCTCCCAAGTTTTGACCTCTCCCATTGTTTTGGGGACGCTCCCATAAACTCAGGGATTCTCCCAAAAATTCAGGGACCCGCCCAGGATTTGGGGACCCCCCCAGGAATTTGGGGACCCCCCAGGAATTTGGGGACTCCCCCAGAATTTTGGGACCCCCCCAGGATTTTGGGGACCCCCCCAGGAATTCGGGACCCCCCCAGAATTTAGGGACCCCCCAGGAATTTGGGACCCCCCCAGAATTTTGGGGACCCCACCCCAAATCCAGCCCACTCTCACCAATGCCAGATCCCACGCTTTGACATCTCCCATTTTTTTGGGGACGCTCCCATAAATTCAGGGATTCTCCCAAAAATTCAGGGACCCGCCCAGGATTTTGGGGGCCCCCCCAGGATTTTGGGGACACCCCCAGAATTTCGGGGACCCCCCCAGGATTTCGGGGCCCCCCCTCACTTCATGCCCTGCTGGAAGACGGAGTTGCGCCGCGTCTTGCAGATGATGAGGTCGGCCCACTGCACCACCACGATGCTGACGAAGAACGCCGTGTGGCACGTGAACTCCACCACCTTGCGCTGCTCGTACGTCTGCCCCTCCCCAAATTATCCAACCCCCCCCAAAAAAAACCCCGCGAAAAAAGCACGAAAAACCGCCGAAAAATGTGGGAAAAACCCCCCAAAAATGGTAGGAAAACCCCCCAAGAAATGATCAAAATCGCTCAAAACGCCCCCCAAAAAATGGTCAAAACCCCCCCCAAAAAAAGATCAAAATTGCTCAAAACGCCCCCCCCAAAAAATGATCAAAACCCCCCAAAAAATGATAAAAATCGCTCAAAACGTCCCCCAAAAAATGATCAAAACCCACCCAAAATGATCAAAATTGCTCAAAACGCCCCCCAAAAATGATCAGAATCCCATGAGAATTGGTCAAAACACCCCCCAAAAAATGATCAGAATCCCATGAAAATTGCTCAAAACGCCCCCCAAAAAATGATCAGAATCCCATGAAAATTGCTCAAAACGCCCCCCAAAAAATGATCAGAATCCCATGAAAACTGCTCAAAATGCCCCCCAAAAAATGGTCCAAACCCCCCAAAAATGATCAAAATTTCTCAAAACGCCCACCAAAAAATGATCAGAATCCCATGAAAATTGCTCAGAACGCCCCCCAAACAATCGACAGAATCCCATGAAAATCGCTCAGAACGCCCTCCAAAAAATGGTCCAACCCCCCCCAAAAATGATCAAAATTGCTCAAAACGCCCCCCAAAAAATGATCACAATCCCATGAAAATCGCTCAAAACGCCCCCCAAAAAATGATCAGAATCCCATGAAAATTGCTCAGAACGCCCCCCAAAAAATGATCAGAATCCCATGAAAATCGCTCAGAACGCCCTCCAAAAAATGGTCCAACCCCCCCCAAAAATGATCAAAATTGCTCAAAACGCCCCCCAAAAAATGATCACAATCCCATGAAAATCGCTCAAAACGCCCCCCAAAAAATGATCAGAATCCCATGAAAATTGCTCAGAACGCCCCCCAAAAAATGATCAGAATCCCATGAAAATCGCTCAGAACGCCCTCCAAAAAATGGTCCAACCCCCCCCAAAAATGATCAAAATTGCTCAAAACGCCCCCAAAAAATGATCAAAACCCCCCAAAAATCGCTCAAAACCCCCCAAAAATTCAGGGAATTCCTCGGCACAGAGCGACCCCCGGACAGGGGGGAATCCCCAGAAATGGGATTTGGGGTGCACAGACTGCTCTGGTTTTGGGGACCCCCTGTTTTCAGAGACTCCGATTTTTGGGGATTCCCGTTTTTCGGGATTCCCGTTTTTCGGAATCCCCAAATTTTGGGAAGAATCCCCATTTTTGTTTTTAAGAATCCCCATTTTCAGAGAGCCCCATTTTTCAAGGTTCCCATTTTTGGGGATCCCCCTTTTTTGGGGACCCCCATTTTTGGGGATCCCCATTTTTTGGGGACCCCCATTTTCAGGGATTCCCATTTTTTGGGGACCCCATTTTTGTGGATCCCCATTTTTTGGGGATCCTTGTTTTTGGGAAGAATCCCCATTTTTGTTTTTAAGAATCCCCATTTTCAGAGATCCCCATTTTTCAAGGTTCCCATTTTTGGGGATCCCCATTTTTCAAGGTTCCCATTTTTGGGGACCCCCCCATTTTTGTGGATCCTCTTTTTTGGGGATCCTTCTTTTTGGGAACAATCCCCATTTTTGTTTTTAAGAATCCCCATTTTCAGAGATCCCCATTTTTCAGGATTCCCATTTTTTAGGACCCCCGTTTTTTTGTATCCTCGTTTCTAGAGACCCCCATTTTCAGGGATCCCCTGTTTTTTGGGGACCCCCATTTTTGGGGAGCCCCGTTTTCGGGGACGCACCCACTGCTGCCCGTAGGAGTCCTCCAGGTCGTTGATGGTGCGGTCGTCCCAGCGCAGCCGGATCCCCACCAGGCACGAGGGCAGGAAGCCGTTCTCCGCCAGGATCACGAAGTAGGCGAAGAACCCGCCCAGCGCCTGGATCATCCCTGCGGCCGGAACGGGGGCTCAGGGGGGTCCCGGGACCCAATGGGAGTCAACGGGACCCAATGGGAGTCAACGGGAGTCAACGGGACCCAATGGGAGTCAACGGGAGTCAACGGGACCCAATGGGAGTCAACGGGAGTCAACGGGACCCAATGGGAGTCAACGGGAGTCAACGGGACCCAATGGGAGTCAACGGGAGTCAACGGGACCCAATGGGAGTCAACGGGAGTCAACGGGACCCAATGGGAGTCAACGGGACCCAATGGGAGTCAACGGGAGTCAACGGGACCCAATGGGGCGCCTGGATCATCCCTACGGCCGGAACGGGGGCTCAGGGGGGTCCCGGGAGTCAACGGGACCCAATGGGAGTCAACGGGACCCAATGGGAGTCAACGTAACCCAACAGGACCCAATGGGAGTCAACGTAACCCAACAGGACCCAATGGGAGTCAACGGGACCCAATGGGAGTCAACGGGACCCAATGGGAGTCAACAGGAGTCAATGGGAGTCAATGGGACCCAACAGGACCAGCTGTACCAATCTGGCCATGGGCCATGCTGATGAGTGACCTCTGAGTGACCCCAGAGTGACCTTGAGTGACCACTGACCGATCTGGCCTTAGGCCATACTGATGAGCCGCTCGTTGACCATGAATGACCATGAATGGCCATCAATGACCATCAATGACCATCACTGACCATCAATGGCCATGAATGACCATGAATGACCACTAATGACCACTAATGACCACTAATGACCCCAGAGTGACCCCAGAGTGACCATGACTGACCCTGACTGACCACTAATGACCCCTGAGTGACCCCAGAGTGACCATGAGTGACCACTGACCGATCTGGCCGTAGGCCATGCTGATGAGCTGCTCGTTGACCCATGAATGACCATCAATGGCCATGAA